GTGTGTGTGTGAGTGTGTGTGTGTGAGTGAGAGAGAGGTAAAATAGGTCAAATTGACATGCTAGTGGAAACTTGAGAGAACTGGGTGCTGCAAATATTTGAATGGCTCCTCCCCTTTGACTGGCCCCTCCCCTAATCTCACTGCACACTTTTGCTATAACTTGAGAGCCCTGATGTTAGATGGAAACATTGTGCATTATGATCGAGTTTGGAGCTAAATTCGCTATATTTGAAAACGTCTGACCACTGCAATTCAGTTCAATATAGGACATCAGTTGAAAGAGTCTCACACCACGGTATGAGAGCAAGTGAATGTTCAATTTATCAGTATTGTAATAAATATTTGAGAAATTATTGTTGTAGGCTATCTGATTGTATTAGTCTATAGAGTGATAGTCGATGTAGAAAGAGCAAGAGAAGCAGCTGAACACAAGATTAAACGATAGATACTAGAAGTGTTATGAAGCGCACACACATTGTGTAAAGCCACCCAAGTTTTAGTTTAGGTTTATATTTTTTTATATATCTATAATATCTGTGAATTTCCTCTGGCAGTAAACATCCTCAATATCTCTGTGAGCACGGAGTGAGTAAAGTTTATATGGAAAATCTTTATAGGTTTGTGACTTCAGAGCGTTTGGGGTCGTTTAGCGTGTTTGTGGTTTGATTATTCTGTTCCTCTCAGACTTCAGATCAAAGCTGCTTTATGAGACGATTTCACATTTATTCACACGGATAGAGATATTAACACAATAAACAGCTAATGAAGAACTTCTGCTGATTCACATTCAGTCATTCAGATGTTTGTTCATCGTCTGACATCAGGTACAGTATGAATGAAGCTGGAACAGCATTAATGCAAGCACTAAATTAAAGACACAAAGGCACTTTATAAAATATAACACATGGAGATTTCAATTGCGGCTGGTTTTATGATCAAGTCATGGTTCAGATTTAGTGCATTGTGTAAAACCAAGTCTTTTGGTTTAATATGTTCATCTTATTTCCGTTTGGAGACCCTCAAAGCTTCATGCTGGCATCATATTGGGCATCTGTTTTGGTCATGTGACGTGTGTTGTTAACCATATGAGAACACACACACACACACACACACACACACACACACACACACTCACTCACTCATTCACACACACACTCACTCACTCACTCACTCACACACACACACACACTCTCTCACACACACTCACACACACACTCACTCACTCACTCACTCACACACACACACACACTCTCTCACACACACTCACACACACACTCACTCACTCACTCACTCACACACACACACACACTCTCTCACACACACTCACACACACACTCACTCACTCACTCACTCACACACACACACACACTCTCTCACACACACTCACACACACACTCACTCACTCACTCACTCACACACACACACACACTCTCTCACACACACTCACACACACACTCACTCACTCACTCACTCACACACACACACACACTCTCTCACACACACTCACACACACACTCACTCACTCACTCACTCACACACACACACACACTCTCTCACACACACTCACACACACACTCACTCACTCACTCACTCACACACACACACACACACTTTCCGCTCTTTGGTGTTTCCTACCAGTAGCAGATGATTGTAATTGAGATAAAACACAGTCTGATTACGAAAAAGGCAATTTGTTTGTAACCTAAAATGAACATAAAACAGTTTATAAGTCTTTTGATGTGTGATTGTTTTATTAAAGTCATGGCAGGATTATAGTAGACTAAAACTAAAACCATAAAAACATGTTCGTTACTTTAAATACAATTTTAAATTAAACTTTAAATGAAATTTTTTTATTATTTTCATTTATTTTAACATATTTAAAATAATAATAATAATTGCAATAATAATAATATTTAAAATTATATTTAAAACAAAAAAAAAACACACTCACACTCTCTCTGTGTGAGAGAGTGTGAGTGTGTGTGTGAGTGAGTGAGTGTGTGTGAGAGAGTGTGTGTGTGTGTGTGTGTGTGTGAGTGTGAGAGTGAG